AAGAATAAATTCATATAATATTTAATTATTTTTCTAGATCAATATGTCTTATGAACAAGAAGAAAATACGGATAATTTTCGTTTTACTCGACGTAAAAAACAAAATCGTCAAATTATATTAAATTCAACTATAAATGAAAATCAATTATTATTTAATCAAGAACAATTAATAAAAAATATTGAAAATAAAATTGAAATTATTCGTATAAGTTATTTTTGGAAACAATTTGAAAATTATTTTCTTCATTGGATTAATCAACAAATAACATCTATTGATATATTATCATATGGTCTTGGTCATATTAGTTCATCAATATGTTCACAATATCAATATGCATTATTAAAATTATTAGAAAAAATATTTGAAAATAAAATTCAAAATATTTATCTTTATGATCCAATATGGACAAAAGAAGAAAATAATTTTCTTCATAATAATAATATATTTTCAAAATATGTAATATTAACAGAAAATAATCAAGCATATCAAATAATTAATCGTTCATCATTTATTTATATACCATTTTGTTCAAAACCTATACATAATAATTTACTTTATTCAAATTGGAATAAAAATAAATTAAAAAATATTTTATTTTTTGGAAATAGTCTTGAAAAATTTTCTAATGAAATACAATTTAATGAAAAAAAATTTTTTTATATCTATCAAGCAACAAGTTTTGCAACAGAAGTTTCATTACCATTATTTGAAAATTATATAAATGCTTTTAATGAACAAGTATTTACATCATTTAATCGTACTGTTATTCCAATTGTTAATGAAAAAAAAATTATACCATTAAAACGAGAAAAAAATAAAAAATTTATTGAGAATAAAAATCAATTAGAGAAAATAACCATTGAACAATTAACAGAAGATATTTGGTCTTTGCATATTAAACCGATATATACGAATGAGGACGAAATTGTTGTAAGCTCTGATTGTGATATAAATAAATAATATAACTTTGTTATCTTAAAAAGAAAAGAATATTTTGAACAAATAAATATATGTTTTTTTTTTGTTTTTAGGTGTGACAGTCAAAGGACATCGTCATGAACAAGCATATTCATTTCGTCTTGAAGACAAAGGTGCAATACAATCTATTAAATTTAATCCTGATCTTTCTGTATTAGCAATAAAACGTAATTCCAATTCCGTTGAATTCCTTAATTTTGCTCCTATTCCACAGACAACTTCATCACCACGTCCATCAACATCAACAACAACTACTATACTTCAACCAGATGCTATTGAATATTCACAATTATCAAAAACAAAATCAAGTAAATTATATGATTTTAATTGGTTGTCAGATAAAGAAATTGTTTTTGTTACTGATCAATCAATTGAACATTATTTATTAAATTCTGAAAAACGTACATTACGTCCACTTAAACATCATCTTGTACCGAATACAAACTGGCAATTATTTTCACGTGAAATGAATCTTTTACTTATATCAGCTGGTTCACCATCGGGTAATTCATTAATTCCATTTTCTTTTCATAAAATGCAACAACAACAATTAGTTAAATTACCAAAATTTGAAGTTGATTTACCACAAGCACAAACAACTATTCAACGTTCAAATTCTATTGCATCAAATTCATCAAGTCAATCAGCAAATAGACGATGTTATGAACTTACTGAACGTGATTGCATGCTTGCAATTATCTATGACAAAGCTTATCTATTGGTTCTTCGTCAAGTATTTCGAGTAGCTGGTTAGTATTTTCTTTTATTTCTTATAAGAAATGTTTCTATAAATATTCTGAAAGGATCTAGATTAAACTGAATATAATGTATAGCTGAATATGATTTTTACACGTTCAACTGAATAGACAAAATTTGTAATCTGGCGTTGCATTGACTTAGGAAATTCATTTTTATATGAAAAGTATATAGAAATGAACTTTATACCTTTGGGAGTTAGTCAAGTCATGTAATTCATTTCAGTGTAAGAAGTATAGAAATGAAGTTCATACCTTTCGGGAATTAGTTACGTAAGAAAAGATGTGAATGAAATTGAGAGTGTGAAAGTGTGATATATGTGGACGAAGACAAAAGATGCACATATAACAACACTCTTACATTAATTTCATCATTTTTTTTCACTTGAATGCTAATCATTGATGCTAATATTCAAGTTACTCAATGAAGAATTTGAGAATAGTTAACAGTAACAAAATGAATTTCTTGATAGAATTCAATTTGAAAGATAAGCACTTATGTTTCATATATTATTGTTAAGAAAATAAATTTTCCATGTTTATTTCTTAAAGTATTGAATTAAATTTTAAAGCCATAAGACGTTACAATGTCATGTAAATTTTCGGAAATCGAACTAAAAAAGAGAAAAATATGATAATTCAATGAATGAAAGAAGATTTTTCGACTTTATAGGACAAGGTTCAGTTGAAGTAGTACTCTATCAAATAGAAACTGATCATAAACCTGCTCAAAAACGTCATATATTACGATTAAGTTTATATGGTAAATGTGCATTAAATGTTGTCGATAATCTTGTTTTAATTCATCATCAACCAACAAAAACAACTTATATATATGATATAGAAGAAAAGTCTACTTCACAATATGATGGTTTTCAAACGATACATGAACCATTACTTTCACAACTTTCTATACAACCAATTAATGTTAATTGGCAATTAGCATCGTCAACAATATCAACATCATCAACAACAATTGAACTTTATTCATCGAATTGGATTGTTTTTTTACCAAATGTTATTATTGATGTTAAAATGGGTTGTTTATGGTATTTATTAATTAATTTAGATTATTTACTTGATCTTATACCTGATCGTTTACTTTTAATTGATATTTTATTAAGACGAATCAATGGTAAATCATCAATACTTACTTTACTTCGAACATTATTAACAAATGTAATTGCACCTGTACAAATTGATTCAAATAATGTATCAAATATAAGTTCATCTAATGTACTTGATTGGTGGATTGAAATTATTGATCGAATAAATCGTGTTTTCATTGAAAATTCTTCTAATCGTCCATTATTAGATCAAACAGATATATATTCTGTTCTTTCATTATTTTCAACAATTGCATCAATATCAACAATAGGAACGACGACAACACTTCATCGTTCATTATCAATAGCATCAAGTGATACAATATTAGATGATAGTCATCAAACAAAAGCATTAAAATTTGCTATAAGTATTGTTATTGAATATATTCGTTCATTAAATGGCTTTAATATTCAAGTTCAATATTTTATTTATGAATTACTTGTTAATTTACTTGTTAAAAATAATCAATTTTTTCAACTTCAACAATTAATTCAATATCAAGTATTAACAGATTCATTAAAACTTGGTAAAAAGAAATACTTAGTTTGTTTTTTATTCTCATAGAATACTTACAGTAAAATCTCTTGTAGTGAACATTTTAGTATAGTAGACTTCTTTTAAAGTTCAAGCTCTCATTTTTGTTTTTTTGCTGGAAATAAACCTTCCTATAATGAACACTGTAACAGTGTTCTATGTTGAATACTTAGAAGAAATTTCAATGATGCCCACGATAGAGAAATTTTAAATATTTTAACAAATGTGAATTTTCCAAGAAAACAGAACTAAAATTGAGCATTAACTAATTATTTTATTCATTGATACCCTTGAAATATCTAAAAAACGCATCTATACTTTGTGAAAAATCTTGCTTTTAGAAAAAACTCAATCTTCTTCTAGTGGACATTTTGAGAAGTTCAAAGAACGTTCACTATAGAGATGTTATACTGTAGTTATGAGAATTTAGTCTATTATTTCATTTTTAAAACAAAGTCGTTTAGATTTAATTCATTTCTGAATTTCTTTAGTTATTGAAATTTTCAATTGTCACAAAATTTGTCAACAAAAAAAAAAAAATACTTCGTAGACAAATAAATCTTCAATTTAAAAAAATGCAAAAGTTAAGCTTGCAAGCACATTGAAATTAGATCGTAGCAGCTAATGCTCATTTAAAAAAAATGCGGGTGAATACTTTTTTTTTTTTGATTAACATTCGTTTATACTGTAATTTTCACCATTGGATAGAAGAGATGAAATCGAATCGAATCAGTTATTATCAATTTTTCTAAAATGCTTTCGGATTTTTTCAATTAGTTTCCTGAAACAACGTATTTTTTTTTCATGAAAACTTTCAACAATATCTTGTTTCTATCAAAAATTATTGAAAAAATATTTATCTGCATCATTTTTTGAAATGAAAAGTGTACAAGCATAAGCACATTCATCGTTCTAGAATTGAGATTTCAGTCGATACAAAAATCTATAACAGTTAATAATTTTCAGTCGTCGATTTCTAAACATGGATTTGTGTTCTCGAGAAAAATTACGACAATGACAATTAAAATTTTCATCTTTAATACGAATTCGAAGAAAACATTAATTAAAAAAGAAATAAGAAACATAATTTTTTTTTTTAGCTTGTCTACTTCTGTCTCTTTCCAATAAACAACAACCAACAACACAAATAGCACTTGATATGCTTAAACGTTTAACAAACGCAAATGAAGAAATTGTTGAAATACTTCTTGGAAATAATTTCGTGCTAGAAGCACTTCATTTTTGTATAGAACATTTACCAATAACACGAACATTAGCACGTAAACTTTTAGAGGCAGCATTAAAGTCGGATGAACTTTTATCATCAACGACAACAAATCAAAAAATTCTTTTCTTTACTGTTTATACATTTTTTGAAGAATATTTTCAACGTACAACAACCATAAGTGCATTAGCTCAATTAGCAAATAATAATGAACAAAAAGATGACCTGGAAATGTTTAAAACATTATTTAATTTACATTTTCGTAATCTAGATACAGATGTTGCTAATATTCAGTGATTAATTGTTTGTGTTTGTTTTATTTATTTATTAATTTTCATGATCATATTTTGTTGATTGATATTTATATTTCTTTTTTTCTCTTTGTCGTTCTCTTTTCAAGATGGAACGAAGCGATTTTAGATTACGTACACTTTTACTTCAAATTGATCGTCATTTAACGAATACTGATCGTCAAAGACTCTGTTTCCTAATTGGTTGTGAAGATGTTCCACGTCGATTACTGGATGTCATTGCTAAAGATGGTTCAGCATCCATGACTGATATATGGGAATCATTATTCGATCGACGAAAAATTACTACTAATAATGTAAATTATCTTATTGAACGTCTCGGAAACATTGAACGTTTTGATTTAGTTGAACTACTTAAAAATTATTGTCCGCTGCCATTTTCCCTGGCAACGATACCTTCCACAGAAACAACAAGTGAAGCTAAACAGCGTAGAGCTCATTCGGATCTTTTTATTCGTTTCGATCCGTAGAATTCTTCTTAAAAACTTATTCTTTTGTTAACAGTTTTTATTGTATTTTATCTCATGGTAACAAATTTCTGATTTTATTTTATATATAAATAATGCTAGATTTTGAATGCTATTTTAAGAGATAAGAAAATATTTATCTTTCATTTGTTTCGATGGAAGAATATTTTCCAAGATATATAAATATCACTATATGAAGAACAGATGATAATAGAATTATATTTCTGTAGAACATTGATATACAGTAATTTCTATGCTATTTAATAGGTGTTTAAGATATATTTAAAAAATATATCTTACTATTAACTGGTTAAAAAGGATGATGTAGGCCATTCATCTTCTAATGTTGTGATGAAAGTCCAATCATATATTGATTAATTTATCATGTCTTTAATTAAACAGTGTAAAAGAAATTGAACTTCTATAGCCATCCAAAAACAGAAACTCTTCTTTAGCATGAAGAGTGATGATGACACAAATATGTACTATGTGTCAAAAAAACAGACTTTACAAAGTGAATAGTCGTCATTTACTGTGATAGTGAATATTTTTTTTTAGAAATGACTAAAACAATATCGACCTTGGTGCTATAGGCACAGCTATCATTCAAGCATAGGACTTACTATAAAAACCAATGAACTGACAGTATCTAATAATTCAGATGATAAAAACACTTTCGCAAAGTTGATCTTCATCTTATTTCAACAATGACATTATTCTAGATGTCATATTATCTTGATCAAGTCAATATTGAACAAACTCAATTTGACAGTCTCATAGAATCATTAAAATTGGCATCTTTTTGAAACTTCATCGAATCTAATCCTGAACAGACTTCGACCAAGTCGATCGGTACACGTAATCATGATCACATGGTGAACTGTCATAAGTTTTATGAATACCTGAGAATTCTTATGGCAGTCTTCTTGCTTGCCAACGTATACTAGGTACTACCAAAGCTGATCTCTTCCTAGGTCACAAAAAATATGATCAAAAATGTATAGATTCATTGTGTGGTATCATGTATTTTTACACATCGGTTTTTATCTGTCAAGTTGGTACAAAAGCTGTTAATTGTCGTGCCCTATGACTATATTATACTTTAATATTGCATGAATTGGTGCATATTATGGTGTTCTTACTTTCAGCATCAGTAAGATAGATAACTTCGATAGACAAGAAGGCTAGTAACGAATCTTTTATATTGCCGACATCGCTACTCTTATTTTCGAACATGGATCCTATATTCGATCAATGACTTTCCGTGAAATCGGCCATAATTTTCAACAGAAGAATATGGTTGAACGATTAGCCGTTTACAAAGCGATGCTGAGCCTAAGATAAATAAACATTCCAGTTGGCAACAATTTCTTCCACTACTTTTAGATTAGCAAATTTATGCTTTACATATATATATAGACAATAGCTATAAATATTTAATTGTTTTAATTTTTTCTTTATTTTTCTTGTATATTCGTTGTACATTGTCGAGGATGAAGAATATAGAAAGATTCCTATATGCATTCTATCTAGTCTTTTTATTAATATTGACAACATGATGAATATAATCTTGTGTTTACATTATTTTCTTACTTGGATATTCTTCAGGAAATTACTTGTATTGTATTATGTTTATGTATAATTCGATATGAATTTGTATCGGCAGTTATCTAGCTCACATAACTAAAGGTGAATAATATAATTACATTTATTGATTCGAAATTTATTTTTATTAGTCTATTTGACAAGAATCTAATAAAATCTTACGCAATCATTTCCGATAGTGTGTTTTTATTAGTATTTGAATGAGAGAGTATTGTTTAGAGTAAAAGTAGTAGAAATTGAAAGAAACTTCTTTGTTTTCGTCTGTTTTATAGAGTATTCTTCGCTTACAAAGTCTGAGGAAGTACAATTGTTCCCAAGCCTTAAGAAACTTCCTGGATGCGAGGAAACATATTTAGAATCTCGATTGTTTGTCGTCATAGCACTATTTCCATTCACACCAATACATAATGATTTTTTCATACATGTTACAACTGACAACAGACGATGAACAATAGCACGATCTTTATTTTTACAAAATCCTATGAAAATTCTCTCGTATTAGTCTTCAAGAAATTATTTAGTCTGTCAAAAATCGAAATGGCTAATTTAGTTGAAGAACATATATCATATTTTGTCTTTCGAATTCATTTCTAAAATTAATTGATGAATATGTCATAAAAGCTTAGTAAATCTATACATTATTCAAATGAATATGATAGTCGCCATACATTGTCACATCGCGTTAATGACAGTTGACATTAATCATCACATATAACATTCCTCAATATTTTGTTTATCAAATAAACATGCTCGAAATTTCACAATAGACAGACAAAAATTTTGAGAAAAAAACAGAATCAAAGTCCTTTTTGTCCAACAAAACTTAAGTGGAAGAAATGTGAAATGCTCGGAAAAACAATGTAAGTACATTGATAGATAAAGTCATATTGACCTAACAATGCATAGTCTGGTTTAGCATCCGATTTCAACACACTTTAGTTCCACTGATAAATGCTATTTGAGAACTGTGACTAAATTCTAGAATTTTATTGAATGAAAATCATAAACCACTTCAAGTATTTTCTTCAGTAGATTTACTCTGTTGAATGACAAAAATGTTTTTATTTTTATTGTTCGAATGTGGCCAAAAGGATTAGAGCGTTATACATCACGCAGCTTCAAAGCAAAACACAAACACACAATCGTGTGGCAATGGCTAAAAGAGATCAATGAGTTCATTTTGAATCTGTTCTATTTTGGTTTAATACACAATGGTGTACCACACTTGTTAGGACAGCACTTTTGCTTCCGTGGGCAATCATTGTCAACATCACAAAAATGACCATCACATAAGTTCCAATACTGATGATTTTGATTAGAACTTGGCCGTGGACATTTACCCTTTTTGGCTACATTATCTTTGCCAACAAGACAATGATATCCACATGGTTCTAGAGGAGTATAACAACATTTCTTGCCGGTATCACAATGATCATTTTCAGGTGAGCATTCATCAACACATGGTTGTTGTGGACGAATGAATCCATAGCCGGGACACACTAATTCTGTATTGGTGATGGTGACAATCGACAACACTACGAAAATGTATGCAATAAGTGACATATTAGTATGAAACGAAAAAAATGAGGTATAACACTACTTACATAAGCATTTTATAATGACAAAAGAATGAAGAAAACAACAATAACAAAACAAAAATATAATAATATACCCCAGCCAGTGAAACTCGTCATTCTCAACTTTCTTATTGCGCTGGTAGAGCTGTATTTGATGAAAGAATGTTGCTATATTATAATAATCAGATTCAAATAAAGCTGTAAATAATACACACTAAATATAGATAAAATGTTCCGGTTAACAGCAGACACTCAGGGGTGTCCTGACCAGCGGGGTGGGAGGGTGACCCCCCAATGTTGAAAAATTTTCTTTTTTTTTCAGCAAAATTTCAACATTTTTTCGTTTTTTTTTGCTCACTAAATCTCAAAATAGTCTCGATCTCCCCAAATCAGGTCTCTTTTAGGAAAAGTTGTGAATCAGCTTTCTAGATGATCTTCCTCTCCCCCCCAATCTTGGCGACCTCGGGACACCTTTGCAGACACCATAAGTAAATGATGACTTGCATGATACAAAAACAGAGAGAGAACGCGCTTTTTATAAACTTGACATACCATCAAACTTTGTCAATTTGTAGAGGATATCCTCAATAGTAATAATAGTAATACCTGTGCAATGAAAAACATTCTTCAAGTACTGATCCAATTATTAAATAATTAGATTTTAAATTCATTAAAATTTTGAGATTGAGACGCATTTTTCTTGAAGACTCCTAATTTTTAATACACATGCTAGTTTCGGTTGATTCTGGCATCGTCTTTTATAGAAAAATGTTTGTAGTTATATTTTCAAACAAAAAAATTTAAAAATGTCTTCTTTAAGTAACTTCTAATCACAGATTAGTCCTAACCAGCACTGATCAATTGTACTGCAACGAAAGAAAGTACAATCAAGTAATATTGAAGATGCTAATAATATCTGTGTGTACATGTAAACTTTTCAAACAAAGTTATTCGAATGAATCTATTTAATAGAAGTCCTTATATCTAATAGATCTATCAAACTGCTGACAAAGCGCTTTGTTCGTACAATAATGATCTTGCTGATACTAATCGAAAAGTTCAGATAAGATTATCAGTAAAGGGTGAGCCATAAATAATTATTCTCGTAGTATTTTCAAAACTTCTCTTCTACTATGTGTTTGATTAACAGATTTTTTTTTGTCAAAAGATAACGCTCGAAACTTTCCACAAAACACTATACTTCATTTAACAAATATATCTTCTTCAGTTGTTTACATCAGATTTTAATCGTATGTTAAAGTCAAGTAGAGAATACACAATTTTTTCTTTTTTAGTTTGTTTGACAAAACGTTTCTCATGCAGTAGTATAGAAATCGTTAATTCTCTACAAGTTTTAACAAGAAATTTACGATTCGAGTACTCGAATTTTAAACTACTCGAGTGTTGAGGTGTGCCCCTGCCCCAGCTCGTTTTCAATTGAGTCTTGTTAGAGTATTCTCATATTTTGATGTGAAGCCGAAGACATACTTGTTGCCGTGAAATTGTCGGTTCCGCGACACCCACACTTGGTGTGTGGATTTGGTATGCTTCCCTGCTTTTTCGAGTTTCGTGATGCCCGCATTTCGTGTCATGGATTCTGTGTGCGAGCAGCTCGTCTTCGATTGCTTTCACACGGCAGGGAAAGGATTAGCCATACATGATGAACTTGAAGAGGTGTTTCGAGCTTCGGACTTCTTCGAATTATAAACTATCAAAATTACAATAGTTCTAAATTCGAACGCTCGAATTATAAATTTCTAAAACTGGTAAATTTTAAAATTCAACGAAGTTTAAAACTTGTAATAAGTCTTCGAGTTTTACATGTATGACTATATAATGATATTTTCATAAACTTTATAACTGACGGCAGACGATCAAAAGTAGCACCATCTGCATGTTTAAAAAATCATATGTAAATTCTCTCGCGTTTCTGTCTAAGCAATTTTTTTGCGAAAAAATAGGAATGCCTCATTTAGTCGAAGAACATATTCGTCTTTTGTGCTTTGGATTCTTTCTAAAATTAATCGATCAATATATTATAGAAACTTGGTAAAACTATAAGTGATTCCAATGGGACGATGCTCTTTATGCTTTGTTGCATGTAGTTAATGACAGTTAACATTTATCAATATTTTTGTTATCGATCAAATATTCATGCTCAAAATTTCACAATCAATAGACAAAAATTTTGAGAAAAAAACAGAATCAAAGTCCCTTTTGTCCAACAAGATTTAAGTGGAAGAAATGTGAAATGTTCGGAAAAACAATGTATGTACATTGATAGATAAAGTCATATTGACAAAACAATTCTTAGTCTTGTTCAGTATCTTACTCGAACACGCTTTAGTTCCACTGATAAATACTGTCTTGAGAATTACGATGAAATTCTAGGGTTTTATTGGATAAAAACTATAAAATATTTCAGACAATATCTTTGATAGGTTTACTCTGTTCGGTGACAGCTTTTTTTATTTTTATTTTTTCGAATGAAAAAAAAAAGAAAAGGATTAATCATTATAAATCAGAGCGCTATAAAGTATTAAAGCGAAAACAACCTCCGTTTGATGATGACTAATAGAGATGAATCAGTTCATTTTGGATATGTTCTATTGGGGGCTAATGCACATCGATGCACCACACTTGTTAGGACAACACTTATCATCATATTGGCAATCATTGTCAACATCACAATCATGGAAATCACACAGATCCCATTTCGAATTGGTTTGATTAGAACTTGGTGGTGGACATGTACTATTTTTGGCTACATTATCTTTGCCAACAAGACAACGATATCCACATGGTCTTAGAGGTGTATAACAACATTTCTTGCCAGCTCTACAGTGATCCTTTGTAGGTGAACATTTAGCAATGCATGGCGGTTTTGGAAAAACGAATCCATAACCAGGACATACTAATTCCGTATTGGCAATGATAACAGTCGAAAACACTACAAATATGTATGCAATAGTTGACATTTTGGTGTACGACGCAAAGAATGAGAAATAATACTATTTTGTAACCATTTTCTAGTGACAAAACGATGAAGAAAACAAAGAAAACAAAAAAGAAAAAGAAATACCAGACTCCGCTAGTAAACCTATCATGATTGATCGTCCTAAATGGATTGTAGAGGTGTATTTGATAAAAGCCCGTTGCTATTTTATAATCATTGGATTCAAACAAGTCTATAAATAATACACCCTAAAGATAATATAAACGACACAGTTAACAACATGCATGACGAACAGACTGATGATTCATTTTACTATACGTTAGTGATACAGTGAGGGGTCAAAAAAGCATGTACATTTTTGTTTTTACGCATAAACAAATAATAAGGATACTCTGAAAATTTTTTCTCATATCGGACTTTGTAGAGCTTTTTTCGCTGATCATTTTGGTAAAAAATTTTTTTGATTTTCATTGAGTAATGACGATGTTATAGTCAAAATACTAAACACTAATATAAAGTAGGGGAAAAAGTGTAGCACACTTTTAGTATTTGGCTAATTTTTACGTTATTTCACAACATCTAAAACATGTTCTATATATCATTCGACGCAGAATTAAATGGGCTACATTTTGGTAATAAGCACTTATACTTATATTGCAGTTAATTAGTTAATTAATAAATAATTAATAATAATTAACGATTAATTAATAAAATTTTGATTTTTTTTTTTTTTTAATTCCATCTCTTTCATATGAAAGAGCATAAAAAACTGAACAAAACTCTATAATTACTATTTGGAAAGTAACGAATTTAGTGAGATTTTAGTGTGATTTTCAGAGTATGTTCAGTTGCAATTAGATATAGTATGTATTACAGTGTTTAGCATTTTGACTATAACATCGTCATTACTCAATGAAAATCAAAAAATTCTTTTACCAAAATGATCAGCGAAAAAAGTTCTACAAAGTCCGATATGAGAGAAACTTTTCAAAGTATCCTTATTATTTGTTTATGCGTAAAAACAAAAATGTACATGCTTTTTTGAGCCCTCACTGTATAATACAAAAACCTGATATATGCACATGATGTATGCACTCTAAGTAAATAATTTTCAAAGGGTATATAATATCTGCGTGCATTTGTAAATATTTTATATATAGCTGCAGTTCTCGTAGTGCATTGCTACAGGAAAGAAGCAAACCCTCAAGAAATCAGGATATAGCGTTGATGATAGCTACCTTCCTTGCGAGGTCTGCAGTTGTTCTAATGTAGATAATTAATGCAAGTACTTTTATCAAATAGATCCATCAAAGTGCAGACCACGCACTTTGTTCGCACAACCACAATGCTGCTGATATTGATAGAAAATTCTAGAAAAGATTCTTAACATATAAGAAAAGAAGCATTTTTTTTGCGAGAAATTGTCGAATGGTAGATGTATTCACATTCATCATGATTCGAATAATTGTCTGATAGTATCGAATCATGATACTTATTAAGAAAAAACAATCAGTGTCATTTTGAAATGGATATTATCATTAGAAAATCATGAGTTATCTAACGAGTCATATGAAATACTGGCAAATCGGATAGAATTGAATGACCCTAAAAGTAAAATAAAAATATCATCACACGTAACTAGTTAATAGATATTTGAAGAAACCATATAAACGTCTTAAATATAAGAAAGAAGAACCTAATGGCTACTAATTTTTTTCGCTGAATATAACAATAATAAGGCTTCGAACTTTTTCCATCTGCATAATCTTTCTACTTATATTCATAAGAAAGTGTGAAACAAAAGAACAAACGTTTTTCGTAACTTTCTCTAGAATGCAATTGCGATTTTTCTGTCATGATAGGGTTAATTCTATCTTGAATATATAAAATGTGGCTTAATAATTCTTATTAAAAGAATATGGCATGCATCTGCTGTTCAGTAAGAATATCAAGAAAAAATTTTTGTCTAAGTTATACACTGCAAAAAGTGAATCAAACTTGCTTTTGTGATATTTGAAAAAGATAAAACTTCAAAATAGCTTGTAATGATTTCTGAAAAATAAACACCGTATTAGTAATTAAAATAAAGTTCTCTTATTATATCAATGAAAAAATATTTATCGAATAGATGCTGAACAACCTACACACATGGCTAAGTATACTTGAGACATAAACAACCAAGATACATTAAGTTTGGATTTAAATAATTCAATTTTTTGAAGTGGTTTTTATTATTTTGATTGTGAATTTCGAGTATTGCACAAAATTCTCTTTTGATTGATGGTTAATCACTGATTAACTTTTTCTAGAAGGTTTTATATAACATAAGAAATCTTCAATCAAATAACTAAGTATTAAATCTTAGATTTTTTTTTATCACATTACTAACAGAAAATGTTTTCTTCTGTTAACGATTAGATTCTATTTCAATACTAAATTATATACTGCTCAGAATATATCGAACATAAAAGTTCCTTTATGGAACAATGGTATATCACATAGTATTAACTTACAATATTTAATAGTTTGATGAATATCACTTTTGACTCACGAGAGAACGTTTTTTAATTGATCAATCGCTTTTGAATTCAGACTCTGTGAATAAGGTAGACTCTAGTGAAATATAAATTGGTATATGTCAACAAATTGCATGACGGTATTTCAACCTAAGATTTTTGCCTACAGACAGATCTATTTGTTTGTAGAATATTTCCTTCCGATATACCAAAGTTTCAAAAGCAGAAAATTCTCACATCTTTTATAGAATATAAGTAATTTTTGCAGCTTTTATATCTTGTAAAGAAAACATTCTATTGAGCTGAAATTTTCAAGACACTCTAATGACAAATGAGTGAAACGTGTCAGCAAAATCGCCGATCGAAATACCGTCATTCAGTTTGTTGATGTACACCAAGCCAGAGGCTAAAACCCTACTCAAATGCATACAACTCTAGACAGAAAATCTAAGAGGACTTATCCTTTGGACATTTTTTCATATCTAATTGGATCCTACCATATACACAGAGTCCAAATTCAAAAGAGATCGATAAGTTGAAACCGTTCCGTCGTGAGAGAAAAAAAAAAGAAACAGCTATTCAACTCTTCTACATGAGAGAATCTTGATTTATTATCTGGACTAATGTGAAATGAAGCCTAAAGAAACTATATAGTAAGTGTTTATGTATTTTAGAAAATTCTTAGCGTTATATGTCTTATGAAAAAAGAAGATAGATAATAAGAAAATTCCTTTTTTCTTCTTTTTCTTCTATTATTCAATACGAGTGTGACTGCATAGTAGCTTTCATTTCCCTTTTTTTCTTTCCTAGATATTTGCCTCGCCTATTTTTTTTTCGATGTTCTTCTATAGTCTAATAAAAGACTTGTAGAGATATAGATGAGAAAAAGAGAGAGAGAAAGAGAGAGTTTTGTCGCGTTCTTATATTTTATTCTTCTTCATTCTATCGACAACAGCACACGCATAGTACAAATTCACATTACGCTATCAGTGAGTGCATGGAGATAATGTCACAGAGTACATCGTATTTTTAATTCTAGAAAAAAACAATGGAAGCAATAAAAGCAGGCATAGAAAAAGCCAAGGAAGCAGTTGATGCCAAAAAAGCTGACCAAAAATTAGAAAAAGCTAATGATCCAAATGTGAAACCAAGTGAACGTTTAGATGCTCAGTTTGAAGCGGACAAAGCAGCAGCTAAAGCCGCCGATCATCATATTAAAGCTGAACATCATCGTGTCAAACATATTGCTGATTAAACATGGCTAATATGTTACTAAAATGACTTAATATTTTTGATATTGTTATGTAAAATGATTGTCATGTATTTCTTTTTTTTTTATCGCATAAATAAAGAACTTATTCCAGCTGTAGAGTTAGAACACATAATATTAACTTCCTATTATCATTTGGTCACAGTCGAGAAAACAATTATCAGATCATCGAAACAATATACATGAAATGTAGTAGATAAATAGCCGGCTTTATACCAAATTTATCGACTTATTTTTTCTATACAAAACTATTAGCAGAAGTGAAAACGTTCGCATGACTATAAGCATATGTCAAAGTTGTAATCGAACCGGTCAATCTTCACAAGTTTTTACGGACTGAAAAATATTTTGTAGATAGGCCATTTTACTCTGATAAAACTTGTTGGGAGCAAGTTTGCTTGCTCTTATCAAAATAATTATACAGTGTTATTTCCAGAATTATTAGTTTTATATTCTTCTGTTCTTCTAGACCATTTTATTTCTTTAATCAAAATATATTTCATTTTTTAAAAAGTATTATTAAAATTGTGTTACTGGAGCTTAACTTACATCATATATGTTTTTGGTCAGAATTAAATTCCAATTTGAATCGTTGTTCGTACCGGAACGTTAAATTTGTTTGAAAATATTGAGTAAGAAGATTCAAGATCTGTAGTTTAACAATCAGTTGATGAATAAATAACTTTTTTTTGACATTATTTACATAAATATCATATATTCATCTTTAAGAAACCTAACACATACAAATGACTATAACATAATATTTATTCATGGACATTTATAAAAACCTGAGTGCGAAAGGAAAAAGGATATGTTCCTGACGCTATTTCGATTAACTAAGTAATAATGTTCCAATAAACCGGCTAGATTGGACAGGTACGAAAACTCTCGATTAGTTACAACTCGGACATATGTTGGGTATAGTTGATGCCTAATTGACTATTTTTAGTTATAGATTATTCTAATGTATTTTTCATTCCTCAAAAGATTTAGAAATTATTAATGCAATGCGTTTTCTCATGCATCGAGCAATTAGTTGTTACGTGTTTGTGTTTGTTAGATCACGTTTTCTTATATTTATTTATTCAATATACAGTGAACGTCAAAAGTCTCGCACCACTTTTTTGTTTTGGTTCGCATTTCAAAAATACACGGCATAAATTCAAATTTCTTTTGACCTCAGGATAGCGGAGCTCGAGTATTATATGTATGCATATGTGTGAAATGAATAACCCTTGAATAAAACACACAGAAAAAAAAAATAAACTCGAGTGCTACGACAACTACCCAAAAAAAGACAAAATGGTACGGTTGTTATCAATTATAGAAGTTTCACTAAAGTTGGAGTAATACGAAAGTCGAGTAAGATTTTGTTTGATATTTTTAAATGAGTCGATAGATCTTAACGAGCTCTACAAACTATCTATATTAAAATTTTTTAGAACCCTTTTTTGAGACAAAAAATTGAAATAAAATTGTATTTTTTTTTGCTTTTCTGGTATTAAAAAAATTCTCGACTTTTCATATAGAACAAGTAAAACATGCGATTATTTTGTAATCTTTTTGTCTCAGAGAAGGTTATAAAAAAAATTTAATATAGACAGTTTCGTAGAGCTCGTTGAGATCTATCGACTCATGTAAAAATACCAAACAAAAATTTATTTGATTTTCGCATTACTAAGATCTTACTCAAAATCATAACAGCATATCAGCTTGCCTTTTTTTTATGTAGTTTTTGTTGTAGCACTGAATTTTGTTGTCTTTCTTGTATTTTAGATTGAAAGATTATTCATTTCAAACATATACATACATATAGTACTTGAGCTCTGCTATCCAAAAGTAAAAAGAAATTTGAATCTATGTCGTGTATTTTTCAAATGCAAATCAAAACAAAAAAGTGATGTGAAACTTTTGACGTCCACTATAAGTTAATGAAATAAATGAGTTTATGTGGTAGTTTAAGACGAGCTCATGAATTCAATAGAATATATTCCATCTTTGAAAATACAGAGAAGCAAATTTATGAAGTACAAAAAGATTCTATTGTTTAGATTATTGTTTTCTCTTTATGGTTCGTTTTCTGTTTGCTCATTTAACAAATGAAAATCATGGACAAAAAAAAATCAGTTTCTGTTCTAACCAATCTCATTTTCTTTTCATATCAATTCACTGGCCTCTATATTGACGCTTTTCATTCCTCTTTTATCTCTGTTTCTTTTAACTTCTATTCACACATAAGAATAGAATGTCATCGTACTGGTGGTTGAAGGAGCACAGTGATGATTCGTTATTACGAGTAGCAGTCTTTGAAGGTTCATCATTAACTGACGGAAATGTTTCATCCAGCGTTGCTGAAATAGAATTACAAGCAAAACGTGCTAGTCGTGAACATTCTGCTCATTTACTTGTTTTTCCGGAATTGTTTCTATCAGGTTATGGACTAAGTCGAGAAATTACTTTATCCGCTGCTCGTTATATTATTCAAGAAAAAGTAATTGCTCATCTACAAGATGTGGCAAAACAATATTCAATTGCTCTTTTAATATGTTATCCTGAATTAGTTGACCAAAAGATATATAATTCGGCAACATTAATCAATGAACATGGCGAAATTTTACTTACGTACCGAAAAACTCATTTGTGGGCCAATAAGGAACGTCAAATTTTTGCTGAAGGAGATCAATTATCACCTGTCGTTGAAATACGAGGTGTACGAGTAGGTGTCATGATATGTTATGATATGGAAATGCCTGAAGTAGCACGTTGTTTAGCTCTTCTTGGAGCTCAACTCTTACTCGTACCCACTGCTTTAGCTACATCACCAGCAAATCAAAGTATTACTCGTTTTATCGTAGCAACTCGAGCTTTGGAGAATCATGTTTGGCTTGCCTATGCCAATTTGTCTCCGCCTCAATTTGTTGGTTTCTCTCGCATAATTGGACCAGATGGTAACGAATTGTGTCGAGTTGAAAAAGATCCGCTCATAGTAGCTGATCTAATTCCTAACAATTATCTACATGCAATACAATCTACACCTTATTTAGCTGATCGTCGACCTTCTCTTTATTCAACTATTAATAATGCAAAATATCTCGTTAAATTACCTATCGATTATGAATATGCTGATGACTAGATTGAGGAAAAGAAACCGTTGAATAAATACAATAAATGCAACTTCATCTATGTTTATTCGTAATTAAATAAAATCAATAACAATACTTTGCTTGATAGAGAAATATTTTAATGTTTTTAAGCCTGTCGATTTTAAATTTGATTTATAATTAAGATCAAATCACTCTCAAATTATCTCTTAACTTGTTTTCATTTATTATATCTTTGCATGTTGGGTTCAAATATGAAAAAGTACATTGATGTATATTTTGCCGATATAGACAAGAGAGAATCAATCACAATAATATTTACGATATACAGCTTAAATAATTTCCATTATGACCGACACATTTCTATTATACACTTGATTTATTATTTTCATGGACATATGTTAATTCTTTATGTAAATGAATTTTACTTTTTTCATATATATGACACAATGATTTGTATTACTACTAGTAGTATTAGACAAGTCAAAGTATTAAGTTATTTAAACAGAAAAATAAAATTGAGTTAGAATATTAATTCACTACTTTCGAGTCTCCAACAATAAGTTGCAGTATAGAATTGATCGTAATACTGAAAAATAAAGTCGTCAGAAAGAATATTCTTAGCATTATGAAGAAATAGTTCAGAAAATAACTAACAATTTACTAAAAGATGAAAAACATCAGATATAAGTATAAATATGAATGCTTAGTGCACTCTTCTAATTGAACATCAAACTTTACACAGAACTAATCATTAGTAATTACTGGATAAATTTCCCATAATCCTCTATATTTTTTTTCTTATTTTAAAACTTTCCATCTGCTACGATTTTTGGATTCAACAAAGGATATAGGTTTTTGTCTTTTCATAACATTTCGATAAATTCAAAATGTACACGCCAACATCAAATTACCATTTATTAGCGAGATCATCTCATTTGATGGAATAAATTTTTATTTTTCATATGCCAATCACATCCTTGTGCACGGCGCTGTATATGACTGAATCACATGTTCGCAAATAGAGTTTTATAGTAAGCCAAATAGGAACCACGCTGGTGCGCAACATACGACCAATCCTACACTGCGACTAATTGTCGGTTTCCGTTTTTAAACAAAATATGTACACTCAGCCTAAAAAAACAATATATAGCTCTCTAATTTGTTCAGTTTTCCTTTTTATTATTTAATATTATTTTCAAATTCCTAAAAATCGTTGAAAGTCAGCTAAGTTCATTACAGTGCCAGGTCCATTTTTTGACTTCATACCAATGAATTCATTGATATTATTTGTGGATTCTATTAAGAAGAATTTTTATATTATATAATATTTTAAAATGAACAAACACATGGATACTTTGATTACAAATTGGTGGATATGATGGTGGTGGTGCCATATATGTTATTTTATCTTCTTTAAGCATATGTGAACGATCTGATGCAAATACATCGAGATACTCTTGAGCTGGTATTACTCGAAACATGCTACATATAAAGAAAGACGAGGAGTAAATTATAAATAATAAAACATTATTTTAGTGTATGTACCGATGAAATTTACGTGCTATGTTTATTTCATCACGAATAGCCAATTGAACATAATCGGTTGCAGAAACAGGAAATGAAAGTGTAGAATCAAAATCATATATGACAGGGGGAGATAAAGATTTATCAATTAAGATTACATGATAATCCTTTGAAAATTTAAATCAATATTCATAGATAATATTGAACAAAACTTTTCATACCCATATAGCAAGATGTTCACTGTTAGAAGCAGATTTTTGTTGCCAAATGGGAATTTGTCGTCGTTCATTAGAAATAAATACTGCATAGAGAGAATTTAAATGGTTTGGATTATTCTTTTTCCAACATTCACAAAGTTTCCAAATGTTTTCTTCACTAGAATTCGACTTAAAATAGAACTATTATAATAAGACATATAAATGTCGTATTTTTTACCAATAAGATGAAGTATAAACACATTGATCCCGATTAACTACCCACGTTTCCATTGAAATTTATCTGAAATTTCGTTTTTTTTTTTTTTCTAAAAATAATTATTCATACATATAGATACTTAATTTAATATAAAATTGAAGACTATCGTGTCTACTAAATTCATTATCAATCATTGTGTTAAATGTCGCTTGAGTTCTAAAACATGACGGCTCACATTTGAAAATCAAATATCTACAATTTCACTATTTGATTGTCTGATCTAAGGAGTTTGAAACAAAAATTTAGAATTAAGAATAGATCTTGAGAAATAGATAATCCACTAGAAATATATTGGACTTCTTTTGTTTTCCGTAATATCAGTATCGATGATAAGTTATAAACTCAATTGATAAGTACATGAAGTATAGCTTCTTGACAAACTACTGTATGATGCCTTTTTTTTCTAAAGCCCGATTCTACTGGGATCTTGACAGACGCTGTAATATATGTAAGCGCACTTAGTAGTTGTTTTTGTTTTTGAGATGATTATGTTAATAGTCTTGTATCAATCAGTTTTTTGTATATATCGATGATGATACTTTGATCATTATCTAATGAAGGATTCGGTAGCACAGTTGATCATACACAATTGAACTCTACTTTCAGTCCAAGTAAAAGAATGATTTGATTTCTTTTTTCGATAATCGATATAATATGACTATAAGAATGGCTAAAGCTAAAATGAATAAGACTATATCCAAGATTATATAAAAGAATAAGTGGCAAGTCTTTGTGATACTGAAATTAGATATTAAATAAATAAGAAAATAATAATAACAATAATAGAATGATATATTCCGAAACGTTTATTTTCTTTTTCTTTGTTCAATTAATGGTGATATAGGATAAATTATTTACGCACAAATACAATGCGAAAAATGAAGTAAAAATAAAAATAAATATTATTCATTTCATACAAAAAAAAAAAAATAAATGGACCCTATCATGAGATGACTAAGTGATTTTATCATTCACAATTTAAAGAGAACCACATCTCAATATAAATTAGAAGATGGAAAAGAGAAGAAAAAAAGAAAAGCTTGATTTTAGTTTTGACTAAGTTCATTCAATAATAATTATCACGATCATAAACTTGTTTTTTTTTTGGATAATTTTATAAGAAAATAAATCGACACAATAGTTGTCTTTCGTGTATTTATTTCATAACTCTCTAAAATCATTAAACGAATGTGAATATTCTTTGTACCATTGATGTGTTGAGTACATGAATTTGACATATACATTCATGATAACACTCGAAATCTCGTTATCAATAAACTGCAAAATAAGAAGTATTGAATAACATGTTAATACACTCAACTATCAAATCTAATTCCTCCTAATCAATTCAAATAAACGATTTTAACAATCTAAATATTGCCTGATGTTCATCATTGATATAAATCATCAAGACAAGCTATTATAGCAAAAAACCAAACTCTGTTTTTTAATAACAGGAAAAGTTCTATAATCTAACGTACGAGGGGATTATTCCAACTGATTAGTTCCTTTTGAACCGAAGGCATGTACATCATGGAAACCCGAAATAGATCATGATACTCCCAAAAGAATCCAGACCTATAACATATTGCCGCCGGCATATTGAAGTTTTGCACTATTTTTTAATGTCATTCTGTGGTTGTCCTCAGGAGCATCGGAAAAAATTGACATGCAAATTTCGAATTGAAATTTAGCATAGAAACAAGCCTTAATGAACATAATTCATAGTGAAAATGTCAGATCATTTAATTTGTTCTTGTCCTGAATAGAACATCGAATGTGCGAATGTATATGAGCGATGTAAAAGACACACGGCCTGTCCAAGCGTGACGGAGTCACGTTTTTTCACTTTGCTTTTTCAACATCTCAATGAAATGAAGTCGGATAAGGCTGAAATATTTACAGGTTATGTAAATCGATTTCCCCACACATACGGAAAGTTTCATTAGATTTCAAGTTTCTGTACCTACTTTATGGTTGAAATATAGGCCGTGACGGAATCACCAAAAATGGACTTGAATTTTGTGTGTTGTTTAAAGAATTAAAAAACTTAGCTCAACTATAAATGTGATGAAAAAATTTTCTCTAGAAAAGTTATAGCTCAGATGACGAGTTACATAAACAAAAAAAGAAAATTTGAAAAATACGCAATTCTAATTTTGTAGACAGAAAAAAGGAGTTGTGACGGAATCACGTTTGAGAAATGATGATATTTTTCAACTTTAATTTTCTTCAGAAATATAAAGATAGCCTGATAGAATAAACAGTCTGATGTCATGGATGAAAAAACAACGAAAAAGAAAACATTTTAGGTCATGTTTTGATAAGCGAAAGTTCTTTTAGAAAGTGCTGGTGTATATGTTAGACATTAACATTTAAGACGTGTTGCACGCCAGCGACAGCAAATTTCAGCAAATATTTGCTCGATCGATCTCATCAATCTGGCTGATATTTTCATAGTAGATAGGTCGAGTAAAGTTAGGAGGGAATTAAAATTTTTATCTCAAACAAATGAATCATTATGCAGATATAGATGTTACAAGTATAGGTACTTAGACACATTTGTAGTATGTTTCGAGCAATACTTTTCAGTTAACTTTAATTTTCTAAAGAACAACAAGGGTTATAACGGAGACTTTTTAATATAGATACTGTCGATAATATTCTATTTTTTTATGCGATTGAAAGTGCCGTATCAACTCATTTTTTGACTGATACCATATACCATCGGTAGAAGTCATGTCCACTTTAGTACACAAAATTTTTTGAACAAGTCCAAAAAGATCAAATTTGTTTTATGATTCTAACAATACAAACTGATGATTTATTCTCAAGTGTTCGATTTATGCGATTTAGATGAGAGCCTATATAGAGAAATCCCTAAAGCCCAAATTTCAATTCGTTTGGACATAATTGTGAAAGATGACAGAAGATGTACTTTTCAAATCTTTCTGCATGATATTCGATTCACCTAATATTTCACCCGTTTTCAGAAGAAAATGTTCCTCAATAGCAAATCACTTTTGAGTCA